AAAAGTACAATAATAAGCCAGCAAGCTGCAGAGCTTGATGATTAGCAAACTTATTACTTTACATTGCATCCTCATCGTCATGTGATTTTTAATGTAATAGCGTACTACTAACTAGCGCAATCTGGAATGTGTTAACAATTGAAGTTTGCCATTTCTTCAACCATTTTATGCTTAAGCTTTGGCTTATTTATTTAATCAGCAGGATAAAAGGAAAATTGAGACGGGAAGAATCGAGAAAATGCTCTACGCCGACTAAAATTGAATTTCGTCAAAATTTGCAGTACACACAGATAAAAAGATAGTATTTAATATCTACCACTTTTCTAAGTAATAAAATCACCAATAACTAAACGTCATTTATAAGTCTCAATTAAGTATGGTTTTTAGTTGAGATAAAAAAGTCAGTGTCACGAGCGGGATTCGAACTCACGATCTTTGGCTAGATACGCCGCTGCTCTACCACTTGAGATATCGTGACTTCGATCCACTCGGACACTAACTTCCCATCTCAACACCTTTTGAATTTTCCCTCCTTTTTGCCATTTTTCAAATGTCGTGTAATCTATTGACATTTCTCGGCGACAAATGAAATGGCCACGGAGCTTTAGAAAAGGTATACTTCATTTAACCTATTAAATTCACTAGTTTTCGTGGTCCGCTTGACCAATTAATATCTTTCAATTAAAAATTCAATTCAATTTTTATTTCAACTAAAAACCTTAATTAATTGAAAGATATTAATTGGTCAAGCGGACCACAAAAACAAGTGAAGTTATTTATAACGAAAAATAACTGAAAAATATATTCAAAAACCTCAGAATAGCCTTCCTAAATCTGAAAATATTATTATATTTAGAAAATAACATATTTAGAAATGTCGCCCAGGTATATTTTTACTAAGCATCATAATAGCATAACAAAACAATTAACACGACACAAATGTAACGTGAATACCCTAAATTTCATTACAGATAAATTATTACATGCAGAATTAATAAAAGTAGTTTATTAACTATTAACAAACTATAAATAAGGTGGTAATTTGGCTTTGAGTGACACCTGCTCGTAATGAATTTTAATTTATTAATATTAATTATTATCTAATATATTACAATAAACTGCACTATTTATAATTAAAAAGGCAATCAGGATCTCTGCAATAAATTAAAGATCAATAATATTGTACGCGTATACTAAGGCAAACATGCTGGTAATAATTTACTTATTTCGATAAAAGTTGATTTCAGAGACCGACTTTCGTGAACACTATGTTTAAATTTTATTTGCACTACATTAAAGGTTCGAGGAGAGCTGCTAGGATTAAATTATGACGTGAGAAGAGTGGAGGAGAGAAGAATTTGTTTTTTATGTAATACGGCAGAAGTTCAGGATGTTTTTCGTTTTATTAGTTCGTTCCAGTTTTAAGTAGTTTTCGGCAGGTTGGTCTAGTAAAATGACAATAATTGAAAAAGAAGAGTTTGTGAAATTTATAAACGGCAAAAATTGTACTACTAGACTTGCAGAGCTCTGAAATAACGTAGTCAGAGTTATTTATTTACTTTTTTACGAAGGTTCGCAACAGCAGAGGTCATATAAACCCTCAGGGTGCCGGTGCTTTTGAAAAAATTCCCATTTGTAAGTATGTCCATCGGCCCTGTATTCGAACCCGGGACCTTCACCTTACAGTGATGAGCGCCGTGCCAACGCCTAAACCGTTGCGGCCACCGACGCCCCCCAAAGTCAGAGATATTAATATATTAATTATTGATATGCACATGATGTTATAACGTTGCAATAATTTACTTACATGTAAATAGATTATCAATTAATTATCTATCAATTTATTTTGTAATTATTTGGCTATTAGAAATTAGTTTACGGAATAAGAAAAAATATTTCAGGTAAATTTTTACTTATATAAGAAAAAATTTGAATTATTTAAATATAAACGCATATTATTTAGTGTGAGTCAAGAAATTTTTATATTTATTACTTTATTTTTGAAAAATAAAGGGAAATTAATATTTTAATTGTGATCGGGACCTACTCTCAGCTGACGGACTAAATGTCCAAGCTTAAGTGTATCATGTTATTATAACTATGTGTAAAATATATGTATTATTATATTATTATTAAGATTAATAAAAAGGTAATGTTTTATTAAACACGAAACTTTAGTAAAGCTGTAAATTTTGCTTGAGCGTAATATGTATTTTGAATTTAAGTTTTTAAGATTTATTACTCTCAAGATCAAATTGTTTAAAATTTTTAGCATCTAGTATATTCAGCAGAAGTAGTAGTGTGGGTTAATGTGATTCTTTGGAAAATAAAGGGAGCTTTTGGCTTACTGTTTTATACCTCGTTTTATGATGTGGCGAACTGCAGGCCGTATGCGATTTCGTTGGGGGTGTGTTTAATGTTGAGGACATCACTATCAGAGACATTTGCCCGTTTAATTTTACAACTTACAGACGTAAAGAAACACATCCGAATAGATTAGTATTAATGGTTACATGATTTCAATGGGGTAGTTTTCCCTTGTATAAAATTGAGATTGATTTTATTATAGAAAGACAAAAACATGTCGGATATGACAAAAGATTTGTTACTCTTTGATACAATTTTTTTAGGCAATTTTTTTATAGAGAATTAGAAAAATATAATAATAATCACCCGTAAAATTTTAGTTGTTGTACATTCAACGAGGGCCGCACGAATTTATTAAACACTTCTACCGGCAAAGAGCGTTTGATATTCCACACTTTCTGTATTTGTCCCTTTGGGAAAATGTGTTTTGTCTCGGATTGCTTTGATTTGTTCGTCGTAAATGTCATCAGTCAGCTTTTTTGTCCTCATTCGATGTCAATTCTCTTGTGTTAAGTTAAACTACTTCTTAATTGCACTCCTTGAAGACCTGAACTATGTATACTGTTTAGAAATAAATAAACAAGACAGACCCAGTGTTCAGCCCGACCGTTAATGCGTTAATGGGGTGAAAACTTCCTTTTTTCAAATATTTTCAAATGTATTGTTGCTAGATTCTTTAGAACAATAATAAATGCATCATTATAAATTGGAATCGAATACTTCAAAAATTTTACGAATGCTAATATGATGAAACATCTAATTTTCAGTCGACTATACGATATACTCGTACATTCATTTTATCTCCTGTTTGCTTTTCTTCCTGTTTCTTTCCATCGATCGCTCGTCTCTCTCTCTCTCTCTCTCTCTCTCTCTCTCTCTCTCTCTCTCTCNAAGTCAGTGTCACAAGCGGGATTCGAACCCACGACCTTCGGCTAAATTATAAACGGTTGTAGGTTGAGATGGAGAGTTGGTGTCTGAGAGGATCGAAGTCACAATAACTCAAGTAGTAGAGCAGCGGCGTATTTAGCAGAAGGTCGTGTGTTCGAATCCCACTCGTGACACTGGCTTTTTTATCTCCATCAAGACCTTACATAAAAAAAATAATTAACTGAAAAAGTAACTTGGTCAATTGACCACTAAAACATAAATGGATTAATACCTAGTATTAGACTTTCCATATATTTTTTATAGTAAAGGTTCTAAAAATTTATATTTTATAAAAACTTTTGTTTTGCGTACTTTTACTCAATATTGTACCTGTCTAAACTAAATGTCTCACTGAAATTGAAAATACGAATCGTTGTATAATGGGAAATCTACCAGGACATAAATTATAACATGACAAAATTAACTAATACCAATGCGTATATAAACCATTACATCAAACAAATTTAAATTAAAACCAATTAGGTTTTTAACAGGAAAAGGGTACCGTTAATATATTTTTAGCCTAAACCCAAAATAACGAGCAATATATGACCAAAAATGTTCACCGAATGCAAAATCCGGCGAACTGGATCATGCAGGAGGTGTGCACAGATATAAATACATATCAAACTAGCCTTCAGGCAGGTTGTAATTAACAAAATAAATTCCAAATACACTGATGCATACATTAAAATCTAAAACTAATCATGGACCTTCTAAGGCACCTTGGGGGATTAACAAAATGCATTCCCGTATTTCCATCTATAAGATATGGTATTTAAACATTAATAAAAAACAGGTAGCAGGTTCTTTAAACCAGCTAACCGCATTAACTTTGACGTTTTTGTAGTGGGTAGGGTGAACGCTCACTATTCTATGGTTACAAATTAAAAATGAAGGAAAAAAGTTGCGAGGAACGGTAAATCTTTTCTACGCAAAACTGTAAAATTCTATCATCCTCGTTCGAGAATTCTTACCTTCTCTAGGTGTGTAATATGTTATTTTAAACAAATTTTGGCTGCTACCACTCTCTCCTAAAAAGAATGTCATATTCTTAATTGCCACTGTTTTATATTTATATTTTATTTAGAATATAAGCAAGCAAAATATTATTAATTACAAAAAAAATTAATGAAACATATGACACATGGTTTAAAACGTTTGCAAATTGTAAATGAAAATAATAAAACTGCTTTTTTAAATTTTCTAACTACAGTTGCTTAATAAAACCAATAATTGCACCTCTATTAGGAACTCAATAAAACATATATCCTTATAATGCATGAGTCTATAAGAAAGTATTGGGTTGAACTGGGATGGCATATCTGGTGAATTTAGCGATGATATATTCCAGCACGTCTCAGGCCAAGTAGAGCAATTTTTGAGGCGTCACAGACGAAATATGAGGCCCTATATTGTCGTTTCTGGTCTACTAAAGCATGTCGCTTTAAGTTGATAGCTGCATTTAGTTTGTCTCCCGGAGAACATCGTTTTATAAAAATTGGCCGTTCCTTTTGCCGATAAAACAGTTCATAAGTAGTTGTTACGGTCTTCTTATAAAAGAAGTGGTTTATGTAGAAAAATTTGTTTCCTCCCTCCGAAGTAGGAATTCAGACTAAATTATCTTTAGAAAGTTTATTTTTTCAATTCAAAACCATGATCACACATGCTAGAGACAATCAAAAAATTTTCTTGCAAATTTTTTATACAAACTCTTACTAATTATTGAGGATTAACCAACTCCACCGAACACCTGAGGCTTTATCACATTTTATGGAAAAAACCTAATCGCTGTTTTCCTACATGTGATCCAAGCATTCGATAAAATCTAGCATGGCGTATTTTTGATATGACATTAAATTACTAGAATGGAAATGTGAAGACCATTAAATTTCAGAAAATGTACTACCGTAATGGGCAGAAACTCTTCATTGCGCATTGAAAGTAAACTTTCATTTTACCAACAGGCACTCAAGCCAATGTGGATTTATGGCGTCTACTATTGCCAGCAAGACCAACCACCAAATCATGCTAAGATTTCATAGTATTGAGAACATGGTCAATGCACTCTGGTACGTTAGAAATGTAGATGTAGAGACGGTAGAGGATGCTAACTATAAAGCCGCTTTAGCCCACCATGAAAAGTCGTCAACATACAAGCAGTTCACCTGTTTGACGATTCAAAAGCCGCAAGATCTGTGCTGGTGTAACGAAGTGAATGTACGAGTAAAAACCTATATTATGAATCTAAGTTTCTTTGTCATTAATATAGTAGGTATGGGAAAAAGATTACATATTAGCTATGATATATCTATGTTGTAATATCAATTGTCTCTTCACCTTTGAGGTTTGGAGGGGGGGGGGATTTTTCATCCAAAATGTCACCGATTTTTTCTTTCGAAACTCACGAAAATAAAGAAAACTTCAAACTACTACTGGTCTACGTGAAACATTATAGTAGTTTTCCAACCATGTAATCGACACTTAATGGCACAAACCTGGCCTACGCAAATAAAATATAACGAGAAATAAAATAAAACATTTAAGCGAGTTTTTGTCTATTTAGCTATATTTTTCTGAAGTACACCATTCACATAAGATCTCAAGAATATTGATATAGCCTGTAAGAATAATTTTTTTAGAACTCTTTTCGTGGTAGTAATACTATTGAATTAACACAAATCTAGAAGAATTTTGAATTTTTAAGGGATAACTGGTCATGAAAGAAATAAAAACTGGCCTCTGCCAAATCCAACCCAGTAATGTGAATTCTGTTTCTATAAAAATTACTATTTGAAAGGTTTAAATTCCGCTTAAAACGAATCCGAATTATTTTGGCCTACTTTATTTGAAGCGTTTTTTTTTTTTTCAATAAAATGCACACGGGTAATAAGAAATGTTCGTACAGGTTTAAAGTGCCACAATTAAAATTAGATTAGAAATATTTCATTAGTGAAATTAATTTTCATGGGCAACATTCTCCCAACGAGGTACCAGACCAGTTATGTTTTTTGATAAAAATTTTGGTCCGGGTCTTGAAAAATAAATTCATCTCATTTTCCAGCGGTTTGAGATTATCGACCTGCCGTTTGCTCATCTGATTGCTAAGGAAAAGTGAAAGTCATGAATGGGCAGGTCTGGAAAGTATGGAAGGTGTGTAGCCGTTCCCAACCAACGTTCCTTCGCCGGTCTAGCTGAATGAGTTCTCGCGTTGACCTGGTGAAAAATGACATCTTTTCTGTTCAAGCAATCAGATTGTTTGTGAGACAGAGCAAAAGATAATGGCTGTCGTTGGTTTAAGTACATTTCAGCTGTGATGGTTTGACGATGTGGGAGTGGTTTGCAATGTACAATGCTTGAAGTACTCCACTAAACCCAAACCTTTTGTTAATATTCGGTTTTCACGACTATAGGGCATTTGGAGTCATGATATAGGATATAGTATGTCAAACCGGTCAAAAAAGGTTTCACTTTGTGCTGTGAAAGCAAGAGGCAAATTTTAGAAGCCTTAATTTATGAACAAGACATTAGCTCAGCTTTCACCTAATCCCAAGGTGATGTAAGCTAGACCGAACAGTTTCATCGTTTACGTTGAACAATCCTGCGAGCTCTTGACATATTTAACTCCAATGAAGTTCTGTTAGTTCGTCATCATTGAAGGCAAAAAATCTACACAAGAAGTTCATCTTCAATCCCTTCATTCCGGAAGTGAACTTTTTGAATTGTTTGGGCTGTGCGCTCACTTACTAATTCATCACCGAAAGTAATGCAAATTTGACATATTGCCAAGATGACCGAAGTCATTTTATAAACATAAATTCATAAAATAAACACGCACGAATTATGGGTTTTGAATTCAAGAAAAAGAAATTTTATAGTTTACAGGGACTTGTTCAAGACATTTTTTCTTTGAACTGAAGCAGTATTGGTATTAGGTGTTTACATTTTGATTGGCGGTATAAAAACAATAAAAAAAGAAATACCACGAGCCTTTCCGGTTGCTTGTTTTCTAAAAACCAGCCCAGAACACCACATTTAAAAGGGTTATTATTTTTTCTCTCCACTATTAGGACCCGTTGGCAACAACGCTTAGATATTTTTTGTCTAGTATCACTAAAAAATCTTTAATTAACATTGGTGATCTTACGTAGATAACCCTCCCTTTGTAGCAAAAATTAGAGAAGAAAAAACAAAAATTTTAATTATTTTTAAATTCTTTTCAATTAGTTAATCTTTACGTAAGGTATTTGTTGACATAAAAAAGTCAGTGTGACGAGCGGGATTCGAACCCAGGACCTTCGGCTAAATACGCCGCTGCTCTACCACTTGGGCTATCGTGACCCTCTCAACCCCACCTTTCGAATTTTCCCTCCTTTTTGCAATTTTTCAAAAGTCGTGTAATCGGATTGGATTCTCGGCGACAAATGAAATGACCACGGAGAGCTTTAGTGAAGTATACTTCAATTGGCTTATTAAATCGATTAGGTTTCGTGGTCCGATTGACCAAATAAATTCTTTCAATTAATTTTATTTCGACCTTATATCTTACTTAAAGATTAATTAATTGAAAAGAATTTATTTGGCCAATCGGACCACGAAACCAAATAGATTATTTTTAAAGCTCTTCCTTTTCTCCCATACAACAATAACTTATGTGATACCAATTTTGAGGCATTTGGTTTTTTAAAAAAAAGGCATTCAACTCAGTGCAGGTCATTATTGCCGCCTTTGTCTAGGCAGTGCTACAGTAAATCTAAATGATATAATAATAAACGACTTTAATGGTTCTATAGGCGCATCTAGAGCGGAAGCTGTCCTGAATGAAGATATGACATCATTTTATTTATTATAAGGCAGTTATATTTAAATAGCGGCACAGTTTGTTCTCACATGTAAAATTCTACTTTGATTTGTTCGTGCGCTCGCCATCAAAACGACACCGGAATTTAATAAAGCCTCTTTCGGATGTTTGCAAATTGAAATGAGCTCCTATTGACTTCATCGGCTTGGCAGAGATTAGAATCCAATTTAATATCTTCCCGCTGAATCCAGAATGTATTTTCCAATGTAAAGATAAGCGGAAAATGACAAGTGGTCTCGTTCGGTTTTAATTGACCTTTTTGGACTAAATGAAAGGAAAACTTGGAAATTCAGCGGGAATAAAATGTTAACCTTTAAGAGAAAAATTCGTTGGAAACTGAAAATAAGGTCGGAAGTAGAATAATATTCATAATTACATTCTGAATATAGGAACGACACTTGTAATATTTAGGCAAATAAATCGTGTTTTGTCACATTTTTAATGAAAAACCAAAATTTAAAAAAAAAATCGTATTGTCTGCTAATATACCTGCAATTTGTTTATTACCGATTATCATTGTTTTTTTTTTGTTTTTTTTTTTTTACTTTGTTGATTTCATGCTATACAACGATTTTGGATGTAGGATGTACAAAAAGAAAGGGAAATTTTCCAACTTTTAACGCGATTATTGGCTAAAATCGTAAGTATTTTTGAAATGTCACGAAAAATTTCGGACATTCAATCAGGAAAGAAGACAAACTGATCTAGTATAAAAATATCTACTTCAGTTTGCTTCGTATTTAAAAGCTTTGAAGGGAGCATAAAAACATTTTTTTTGTGCGAGGGTTCTTAAGAGCAGAGGTTATAAACCCTCAGGATGCCGGTGTTTTTGAAAACAAGCCCATTTGCAAGTATGTCGGGTTCGAATGCAGGGCCGCTGGATTCGAACCCTCAACCATTACTTTACAGTGATGAGCGCCGTGTCAACGCCGAACCGTTGCGGCCACCGACGCCCCACACAATACGCACATTTCGTATTGTTTTGCATTTTTCAAAAACAACTTTAGTTTCCTTGATTTACTGGCAGCTTTTTTTCGTTTTCTTAACTTTTATATAGGTGTTTCATTTCAAAATTCAAAGCGTTTTTGACAAAGCTTAAAAGAAGTGGCATCATATTTTCGAACGGTTGAGATAACATTAAATTTTGACAAAATCCAGAGGAATTATGCATTTTTAAATGAAATGCCGGACATCCAAAAAAATCGGCTGACCAAGTATAAAAGTGTCTATTTCAGTTTGCTATAATTCTTATATAAACGCTTTAAATGGTTCAATTAATTAAGGTTTTTAGTTGAGATAAAAAGTCAGTGTCACGAGCAGGATTCGAACCCACGACCTTCGGCTTGATACTCTGCTACTCTACCACTTGAGCTATCGTAACTTCGATCCTCTCGGACACCACCAACACTCCATGTCAACATACAACCGTTCGAATTTTACCTCTTTTTTCCTTGACTTGAAGTCTTAAAAAACCTTAATTAATTGAATGATATTAATTGGTTAAGCGGACCACGAAAAATAGTGGCTTTAAATAGTGTTCTAAAAACTCCGGATTGTTTTGCTAACTTTACTGGTGGTATTTTTTTGTTTTGGTAACTTTTGATATATAACTAATCTTATTTAATACGTTCTTATATATTATTTTTAAAATCAAACAATTGTTGAAGCCTAAAGAAATTAAATTACATTTTATAACGTTGCAATAACGTCGAATTTGAATAAAATCTAGAGGCGTTATGAATTTTTATATCGGACATTTGCGGAAAAAAATATCTGGGAGAATCCATCCAATTGAAATGTCTGTTCTGGTATTGCGATTAAAATCCACATTTAATAGTTTTAAATAAATAGTAATGTGAATTGATTTTTGTTTTTTTGCAAAAATATTTTTTTACCTATTCATACAAGGAAAATATGTGATTGACCTAAATGCAAAACAAGCAGAGCACTTTTTTCCTCCGCTCCTAGAGCCCACTGGCAGGAAAACTGAAAAAACGTGTCTATTTTTTTTTTCATTTCAATAAAATCATCGGTGATTATTTGCTCTTGTTAGTTTTAGATTTAGAATAGACCGATAGGTGTTGAATTAGAAAAGAATGCGTTTATTACTTTTAGTATAAAGCGGTTTATGAAAATCGCAAACTCGCCAAAAAAAATATACACATCATATGACTAGATGATTAAAATATAATACATATAAAAATGCTTGCATACATTGTTTTAGATTTAGTATAGACTGATTACCCGCACATGAATTACAAAATGGAGAAGTAATCCTGGCTTCCAGGAATGATTGCCTTTCCCTTCTATTTTAATCCGTTAAAACAGATGGATTAGCAGTGGGGCCAAACAATTGGTCAAGCCAATCCCAAGGGTTCACAACATTTCCCACAATGATTTGTTTACACTAGTGACCGCAGAGATTTGAAACCGGCCTCTTTTCCAACGACGTTGACACAACTGATAAATCGAATTTTTAAACGGACTTAATAAACTTTCGGCTTTCGTACCACAAAAGAAAAACAAAAGCCAGTTGAAAAGTTCTTAAAATTGAAGAACGGGCACGATTCGAAGAGTACTCTTTTTCCCGAGAATTGGCTTTACGACCGTGGTAAAAACCCAAGCTTGAATAATTCTTTCCGATTTAAACCTATTAAAAACTCTGAGGGCATGCAAACCCGTGGC